ATTTTCTTCTACATTTCTGCAACACTGCCTAGGCACTTTATCACGGACCGTGCCTTTGAGTCGCCATCTCGAGTAATGAAAGTGGTATATTCTCTGCGAGTGCGGACAACCATTCCAAATGAGGAGGACTTTTCACTGATTCCATTCGTGGAAGTGTCTTCAAAACAATGGTCAGAATACAGTTACTTGCTTGTGCGTTTTGGCTTGCATGTAGGCATAGGTTGACAAAAAGCCACCCTTTTTCCGGCTTTCAGCTTGTGGTTATATATTACACGGCGATCAACACAAGTAGCACATAAATTGACATCTCTGCCCTGCTTTGAGCGCGAGAACAGATATTTAATCGATTTCATTGGTCCGCAAGAAACCTCTGAAATTCCAGCCTTAGCGGCATTAATCTGGGCGTGGATCGACTATATTTAATAAAAACAAATTGTGAAGTTTAGCTTACCTCTATCCAGTGATTGCACATTCTGCGATTGTGATCGCTAGGCCACGGAGGTATCCTCAAACGAGAATGTCTCGCTCTTCCAAAAGGAAGAATGCCTTGAGTTTTTTGCCACATCCAGCCGGCTAAACAGTTCTCTTGAGTTATTTCTCCGATGACGACTCTTACTTTTATAAATATTTCCTGCCACGGATAAAATTTTGCGTGGATGCTCAATTTATAGATTGTCTTACCCTTTCATCACAAAACTTGCCGCCGTAGCCGTACGGACAATTGCATACATCGCATTCTCTGGGATTTGGAACTCCTCCATTTGCGCACATAATCTTATTGGAAGATTCACAGTGAAGCTGTAAAATTTACTGGAAGTTTCCAACCACAACAAAAAAAAGCAGTGTTAAAAGGGACTGTTGATTCATTCCTTTCTTGATATTTTGCACGCATTCTCCACCCGTTCAGTGTCGTAGTGGCTCCAAGAGTGCAAGGTGGCCTGCAAGGCAGCCGATCTGGCACTCAAGCCTCCGTCATAAAATTTGCCACTGCCTCTGCATTACCGCCTCCAAACATGAAACACAGAATGGACTGTGATAATGCTCCGTGCTTGCAAGTATTTGCTTGAATGTTATGGCGATATGTAACAATAATGTCAACTGATTATTCTACTATAATGAATCGGTTAGAGTCACCCTAATCGATTTTTGCATCGACGCAATTCTGCGTCGTGGGGGGGGGGAGCGTTTTGCATTTCGTTGTTTCACTAGTGCTCTTCTACAAGTCTCACTCTTGTGAAACCTGTGAACTCTTGTGAATGGAGCAAGTCAAGGTAAAATCTGTCAACTCAAGAAGAGGCTGTCTAGATGGGTTGTCGACACTTTCATGTGAAGTAGCAAAAGTGCAAGAATGCCCCACCCCCGTCGCCGAAGTGCCCCGATCTTCAGCCAATCTGCACCAGGTGCAGCCTTTGGTCGTCATCCACGCTGCGGCGTCGAGGGGAGCTGCGCCTAGCGCAAAGCCAACCTGTTCTTTACCTTCTGATTGTAGTACTGATCGACACTTCCCTGTTCGACACCCGATTCGTTAGGAACCGGAGACCCTATGTGAAGGAGATCTACACCCCTTTTGCGAGGTTTGCCGCAACTACAAAACACTATTCCTAGCTCTGATCAAAACCTGCTCATACAGAAAGTTGAGGCCTGTAAGGCGCTATAGGATGCAGCGAAGCCAGCTGATTCTCACTGCGTAAAACTGTTATTTAAGAAGAGCAGAGAACTCGTGCTGAAGCAAAAATGTGCTGTTTTATTACACAAATTGGTACTGTACAGAGAGGGAAAGACAGCCTTTGCTCAAATTGCCTGTGAAACATTCTTTTACTTGTATGTACATAGTGTGGCAGTGAACGACTTCATACGTGAAGGACTGGCCGCAACCCATATTCAGGTGCATTTTACCACGGTTTTACATGCACCTGCCTACATTAACCTTGGTGATGTTTCATTCTCCAATGCTTGCTAACACTGGCGGATAAGCAACTAGAAAACGCAAGATTCTTGTCCCTCACAAGTTTTGAAGCATCTGTGTGGTGGGCCTAAGAGCACGGTCGAGACCAGGTATAATAGTCAGAAATATGGCGTCGAGAGGGAGCGGGTCCGCGGCTAACAACCTTCTACCGCATAAGTGGAGGAGCGGTAGAGCGTTCACTGACTCCTCCTTTTTTCCGGTGACTCCGCCACCACACTCAGCCCTTAAGGCCTGCCCTAAAGTAAAACGAAGTTGTGCAGCATGAAAAAGCATGGAAGTCGTCACTTGTGGCCGTACAGCTCTTATTGGGGGTCAGCTATGCGGATGAGGGTGCTGTGTTGGAGATGAAGTTAAGTGGGCCCGTATAGACTGAATTCAGCGAGACAGTCGATTTCTCCGCCACCGTAGACCACCCTATTGAACTCCGCCCGAACCGGGTAATTGAGGGGATTCAGGTCAGGTGACCTACTTGGATATTCCATCTTCTTTAGGTACTCAGCCCCCTTCCATTCCAAGTAGGCGAGAGTTTCTCCAACGCCCTTCGATTCTGTGGTCAGTGCTGTAAGCAGTACAACTTTTCCAAGAAGGTACGGGTGAGAAAGTGTAGGGAGGATATTCTTCTCGAGTTTTCATTGCAGCCAGCGCTCACTTCAGGTCGGGTCTACAAGATCTAATATCGGTCTTTCCATCTAGTACGAAAAAGAGCCGTCATACATGCGACCTGCTTGAACGCGACTGTGCTAAAGATGATGTCGCTGGCCGTAGCGACAGTGTCGGAGATGCTCGATGTGTGAGGTCAGTAAACAGATGGAGAGTACTGTCTGCCAAGGTAGCTATGCCGTGGTGGACTCCTGCTAGAGATTTTCGGCAGCTGTTTTGGCATGTGACATGAATTGAAAAGGTCTTCTGCAGTGCGGGTTGCGACTGGATGAACTTCATATTTTGATGTTAGAGGAAGTGATAGCAAGACCAAGTTTTTCTGTTATGAATTGAGCATCTTTGACTGGTTTCGACTGTGCGCAAACAGCTGGAGGCTGAGGAAAGACTGCGAATAAAAGTTATTATACCGTTTGCACTTGTAGTGCATGTTCAGCATCATCAAGTCGTAAAAAGAAGGAATCGGCGAGCCCATCGTACGTGTGTACAACGGATCGAGAGGCGTAATCGCATAAGAGGCCATCGATCCCCCTGAAATATGGTTGTTATGTCAGAATGTTACACAATACCAGATGCTATAGTGTCCTATCGGAGAAAATTCGCACTATCAGCGTAATGGGTATCAACTATAAAATTGAGGTTATAATGAAAACCAACGAATCTGCGCGGTAATGCATAATACTGCCGTATTCGTACGGCGTGTAGTTGATGAGCTCATCAGGTTGCATTTTTCTGAGTTGATCTTCGTGCGCTATCTGAAACTTATCTAGCAGTCAGAGACTGTAATATAAATAGTTTCTAGCAGTCATGGGGAAGATAGTCAAGAAAGATTGTTAAAAGTTTCCTATCTTCAACCTAAACTCGGATTTTCATAGCTCAGCTCTTGATCGGAAAGAGCAGTAGCACTTGGGGGATCCCCAGAGGAAGGTCGAACTTGATCGCTGAGGAGGGGGAAGGTCGGATTCGGAGGAAATTCTCTGGACACTCTATTTTGGTTTTTTCACGGAGCTGTGGGGGGGGGAGTCGGTGTAGATACATTCCTGCTCGTTTTTGGGAGAGAGGGAATCGTATTCGCTTTTGAGAAAATTTTGGGGAGTAAGGTCGTCCTGGTACCAATATGTCTACCCCACCCTCTCCCCCCCCCCTCCAGCTCGACAACGAAGTTTTGGGGAAAAAGTGGGCCCTTCTCCTGGAGTTCTTTGAAGAAGTGGAAAAAATATTAGGAATTCATGAAAATCTTAGAAAGTGGTTGGTATGATGCGGGAGAGGGGAGGAATCTTATTTTGCAGAAACTTCCCCTAGTGGCAGGATGTGCCCTGATTGTGCACTATCTTCTTGCTCGGAAGTCAGTGTGAGAGCCGCGACATGGCGGTCTCTGCCCCGGAATGTTCCCATAGCTTCAGAGTTCTTTTCCAAAAGCTCAGATACTAGTCGGTGACGCGCGGACCTCATACGGTCGATTTCCTTCATTTGCTCTCCCTGTACTTTTGTGCGTTTGAAATCGTACGAAGAAATCGTTGAATGGCTCACCTGTTTGAGCGTTTCCAACCATTATAGCTAGAATAAAGTCTGCTTAGGTTCAGTGGCTTACAGACTGCGTTCATAGTTCGCGATTAAATTGCTGTCCCCGCTCAAGCAATCTGATCACGGTAAAATACTTTCAATACATCAGATTGAGGGGTCTTCTGTCCAATTTTTCTTCCTATTTACCATTGCAAAAATAATGATTAGTACAATCAGCGCTAGGGGATGCTTACTACGTAGGGTTTCAGGATAACAGTCCATTAATGCTGCCACATCCACACTTTTGCATTAATCATTATTTAATATGTAAGGCGTGAGCGTAAAAACATTGAAAATTATCCCTTGATTGAGACTAAGCTGCGAGGAGAACAAAAGTTTAATAAAATATACCACTGTCGTTGCTTATGTCGTTGCTTGAGCCGGAACGATTAGCGTTGAGGCGCCCCGGTCTTGGCTCAACGGATCGCTCCTGCGATCAGAGCGACCGACTCGCGAACTATGAACGCGCTTCACCTAATACCCGTAGTTAGGCACGCTCATTTTCCTCTATTTGCCTCGAAAAAACGACAATGAAAGAGAGTTACCGTCTTGAATGATGAAAGGTTGACTTTTATATAATTGTCCCGATCGTAGCGCTTCTGCATATGCTCCACTCCAAGAGCATGAATGATTTCATGAATCGTATCTTGCACCTTGAAAACATTTTTTGGTTGTCGAGTATCACAATACAGAATAAGAATAACAATACATAGATTCATCGAAAAAATTATATGAATACAACTGTATTTTCTCTTATTTTACTATCATTTGTCATTTTCAGCAGAGGTGCAGCGTACTTATGTAAGTTCCGCCATCGCAAGTAAGGTCAACAAAACATCGTATTCCGTGGAGACATGACATTTTCTCACTTTTATCAGTAGAAGAGGTGTTTCCTCATCTTCTTCTACCTGATATCTACCCTCACACAGTGCCCTTGGGCTTTCCTTACTCTTGGCACAGCCAGGACAATGTAGCTGTCGCATTTGCTCCTTGTTGAGAAAAGGGAGTCGTATTTGCTTTCTGAGAAAAACTAGTGGCCTCGGAAAATCTTCCCCACTGTTAACTTTCAGCGGTTCTCCCCGTTTCACGCCAACTATATAGTTTCCCGCTCGACGCGCAGACAGGGCACATCGTTGGTTGGGGAATCCCCAACAGGGGGGTCGTATTTGGCCGCCAGGAGAGGGGGGGGTCGTAGTGAGTGCGG